CCATCTTTTTTTCTATTTAGATTTTGAAAAGAAAAAAAATTTATAAGAGCCTTTAAATTTCATTACGACTTCAACTTTTTAATGCCAAAATTGATAAAAGACCAACACGACACGATACAACTATTAAAGTTAGAAACGATTCATCCAAAAAAACAAAAGTAGGAAGAACTTGTAAATGTCACGAAGAGATTGAAGACCACCTTTACTATTTTACCTAACTTAAATTTTCCCATTTTGAATTAAATAAGAACCTAACTCCAACAACCCTAAAAATGTTTATTTCAAATCCAATCAATAAAAAAAAATCTCCATCTATACTTATCCCAAACTTTTGGCCAACTAGCTACATTTGCTTGATTTTTATGGATCAAGCAAGCTCAATGTAGAACCAAGATTTGACCAATATAGATGAGGTGATGCAAGAAAGCATGAAGGATTTTTTAATTCAATTTCCTTCTTATACAATTAAAGTTGTAGTGTCAATGGTAGGTAAGTATTGGTGGAGTCTGATATTTTAGTTTTGGGAGGTCTGGTTTATGGTGCTTTGATAATCGATGGTCGATAGAGTAGCTATAGCGGATGAGAGAGTGAAATTTGAAATAAAGGATAAAGTTATTCGAATTGAAAACGAAAATGAAGACTAAAACACTTGTACGTGTGAAAGATTATGTGTCAAGTATATTGCCTACCTACTTTTTCCATTCAAAAGTTGGCTCATGTATCTCACGCTATAAAAATTCAATGCAAATGTTAACGAAATCTTGAAAAAAGAAAAGGGCGACGGAATAGGCAAATGGAACTTAAGAGTGGGGATTGAAAAGTTCGATTTAAAGGTTGCGGCGAATTTTTCAGAAGTTCTAAAGGTTGGGAACTAATTGCACAAATTTTTAAATAATAAAAAACTGAAATATAAGATTGTGGCGAGGAGGATTACAATCTTGCCTCCTAGATGAAAGTAGAAGCTTTACCATTATGCTACAAATAATTTATATAGCATAAGCAAACGTCTTTTCATTTATTTGTTATTTTCAAATATAAATAATGATATAAAAAAAAAAAGCTCGGAGAAGCTTGAAGGCCCTAGCCCCGGCTCTCCCCAATATTGGATACGTCAACATGCCATTTATTTTAAAATCTAATCTATTTCATAACAGTACTATCGAACAGATGTGTATCTTGGCTCTGATCGTGTTATTGCATAAGAAAAATTGATTTGCATATTATTATACTAAAGAATTTCGTTAACTCGTATTTTACTCGAACTATAACCAGAGTTTAAACGTGACTTGGTGTCGAATTTGGATAAAAACGAGTTGCTTAAACCAATTGTCAACATATAATTAAAATATTTAAAATGGGAAATCTATGACACATTCATTGTTTGTCAGCAAAACCTTTTTGAACATATCACTAATACCAAACTTGGACTTGAAGGGGGACATGATCATGTTTGTTTTGTATTCCATTTTCCTATTTATGGCTAGAATATAGTTTGGTTTCGTTTCGCTGTCACATAGTGGAAAGGGTTCTTTTCAGTCGAATTAACAAAATTAAACCATGAAAATCCCTTTTTAGGTGAATATGCAATGTACGGTTGTACTCAATTTCTAAAGAATAAGAAATGTGTACCAATGATTTCCTGTCAAGTTGTCTGAATTTAGATTTTTTTTTTTAAGTATCGAGAAACTTCTAAAATTGGATCTATTCTTCATATGGAAGTAAATTTGACGTGTGCATTATAATTTTATGAAAAATAAGTTATTGGGAGAATTATGTAGAAACATGATTTTGGGCATGATCATTTTTTTTTCTTGTTTCCTTAAAACCCCATATTTTGTCGAGATTAGTATTTGATAATTTAAAAGTTGGAATTTGAATTAAAAAATACTGTCTAAAATTCAAAACGTCGAAGAGCATTGACAACCCATTCTTCACGTGATTGTGAGACCGCCAACGACCAATTATACCCATGTGCGTTGTAATTGCGTCCTTGAAGATATTTTCCAAACTTCAACATAATTTAAAGAAAAAACAATATTTTGACCGATTAATGATTGACGAATTAGAAGAAAGTTGTCGTTGCTCCTTAGTGTCACGAGTTGTTTTCTAATGAAGCTTATTTAATTAATTGAGGACCCACTTTTTATTCATTAAAATTCGATTTTGTGTCAAAAAGCAGGTTACTCCTTAGTGTCACAAGTTGTTTTCCAATGAAGTTTATTTAATTAATTGAGGACCCACTTTTTGTTCATTAAAAATTCAATTTTGTGTGAAAAAAGTAGGATAGACGAGCTAAGAAAAAAGTATCTAAATAATTATTTTTTAAAATGAAAAGTTATCATTTTACCCTTATTGAAATAGCTAATAATGTGGTTAAATGAAATTTTTGAGGCTGTGGATGACGCAAATAAAAAGTTTGAATAAAGTTTACAAAAAAATGAAAGGTTGAAACCGTAGTTGCAATTATTTCATTTTTATTTTATTAAGGACCATGGCAGGCTTGTTGGACCATTTATGGGCCAGGCCGACCATATAGCAATAGGGAAAATTACATAAATCGGGTGTTTAAATTTCAAAGTGCAAAAATCAGGTGTGAAAATTTTTTAATCAAAATTCAAGTAATTAAATATTATACCACCAAAACCCTAATTTCATTTCATTTCTCTTCCTCTTCTCCCTCTACATTCCTCTCACTTCTATAACTTGATCTTTTCAGTCTAAACTCTTTTTAGCTCTAGATCATCCAATGCTACAAATAATTGGCTCTATTTGCATAGATAGACAATGACTGAGAATAAAGTTAGCTTTCTGCATTCCAACTTAGTTGAGGAATAGAATTTGTCCAAAACTCAAATATCAAGTCCCATGATTCTTGATGTGTTGGCTACGCAACTAAAAATTATTCGTTAATACAATCTAATACAATACAGTACACCGTAATAAGCAAGTCATGCACGTACTTTTATGCCTCTGATGAGCATGGAAGTGTACCAAAACGTACAAACAACCCTTTTTTTTCGTGCCATAAGAATATGTTGCAGCAATCTACCCCAAAGTAAGCTTTAGCTTTGGTGGTGGAGAACCTGGACCATTAAGCAAAGTTTTGTTCTTCTACTTCTCGTTTGGTAAAATGAACTATACAATTCTAAACAGTAATAATCCCGCTAGTAAGACATGAAACCAAAATGGATAGTTTTGTAGGAACTATATTTATATTAGTAATAAGTGATCTTGGCATCAAATATTTCTACTTAATCCCTTGCAAGAAGAGGATTCGGGCAAGTACAACGACTTAGGGTGAGAAATCGTCAAGCAGTTGACCTAATAAAGGACCCCAACAAGAAAATTTATAATATATTAAATATCACATCAAGTGAAAATCATTTTTTGGATAATTTTAACCCTTCTACAATTTAATTATTTCAATAATACCTTACTTTTCGTTTTTCAATATATAATAAATATTACAAAATTCTTGTCATGTATAAATTTTGTGTTATTAATTATCAATTAATCAACATTCACAATAATCTTGATTTAATGAATTTTGATCTACATGAATTTAGAGTTAATATAGATGAATTTATTTATGTTAATGTATTTATAAATTTTAATAGGTATTTAAATTCATGTATTAGCAATTAATTTTTATATACCAAATGTAGCTTAAAAATGTTGTTCATTTGTCGTGTTTCATCATTACAAAAAATTTAAATAATGGAAGTTGAGTTTTGAGAATACAATTTTTTCTCTTAAATTTCTAATCTAAATTTTCTTTTCTTTAATTCGTTTGAGACATATCAAATCCTCCCAACAAATTGGTATCAAATATTATTTTTAACACACTTATAAAATAGAGCATTGCTAGGGGTACATCACCCCCATACATAAGGGTCTACACCCCTCTCACACGAGGGGTGGGACCCGCTCGAACAAAAAAATATTATTTCAATGGGTCCCACCCCTCATGTGAGGGGTGTAGACCCTTATATACAATTCTTGATGTACAACTAGAATAATTCTATAAAATATTTCACAATAACGTGCGATGCACGTTCAACTTTGACTAGGGTTTTTCAAACGGGCTATTCCAAGAAAATTTAGAACTAAAATTGCATCATTAACAGTATAAAAATATTTCCACCAAGCCTCTGCACGAGCCAAACAAAGAAGGAAGATGGGGGGCCAATGTCTCTGATGGGTATGAGACAAGTGAATCATCAATAAAGAAGGGAAAAGTCATCGCATTCCTCTCCTCATCAAAATGGAGATCTACTCTATCAATAACTGTTCAATTTATAACTTTGTTAGCGTAAATTGTATCGTCTTCTTCCTAATGGTTAGACACAATTGTCCGGTCGGTGAATACAAATATAAATGTTGCTACTGCACTGTAATGCATTTTTTTTCCTCCAGCTTCATCCTGTATAGTGATTTTGGCCGCCTACCAAATTAATTTTGCTTCAAAAAGATCTACAATAGCAACAGATTTTCTCACCTAAATCACAGTTGTACGCAGAGAAAATCTTCACCAAATGCAATTTTCTCAAACGTGGCTTGCATGCATTTGTCTAAGTCAACAATGGCTGCACCTTTGCCAACAATAATGGCTTTAATATGCCGACATAAAATAGATAAAGGGCTAAGCTCTCGTCTGATCCTAATATTTAAATTTTTTTTTTCTTTAAATTTATTTTTAATCAAACATTTTATAAAATTTACAATTTTTATCAACTTTAAAACACGCACATATCATCAATTTTTATTAAAGTCTAAAAAATTGATTTTTCACAATTAGTATCCAATATTATATTTTAATGAATTGTAACTCGAGTCAAAAAGTTGGTGGTTGGAATATGTCTTGAAGGATTAATTTTGTCGAGACACCCAATTTCGGAAGTACTAGGAGTCGAGTCGTGTAATTAGTAGAACCTTCATATTTTCGAATTTCATCATTAGTCTTATAAGAGGGTTCTCTTTGAAAAATCATAAACAAAAGATTAATATAAAATTTCATATTTCTCCCAGTTTCTTGGGCTTTTGCGAGACGACAAACTCATCAACTGTAACTTCCGCAAAATGATACAGAAAACTTCTGCGACAAAATATGAAGCAAATGCAATTTCAGATGTGCATATTAAATCCAACACTCGAATGCATTTGCAATTGTTTTGTGAATTCAAAACTTCGACAGATGAAAGTCGACTCAAGATCAAGAAAGCATTGCGAAAGGAATGAAGGCGTATGTACAAAATGTGCAGCATTTCATTTGTGTAGAGCGAAATTGCCATATATTCTGAATTTCTTCTACAATGGCGTTCCAGTTCTTCCCAAAGCTTGAGCTTCTGATTCATCAAAATAAGAAGAATTATGAGACACGATGATGATTATAATAAGCTGCTCGCAATTGAAACAAGAACATACAATTTGCATATAAACCGTATATTTAATCAACTAAGAGTGTTGTGTTCTTGCTCTAAATTAAAATGAAACAAATTTCTCTCTTTATCTGGAGATTGGATCTAGAAATTTACTTATAGTACATGTTTAGTACACAATACTCGACATAATTAGACGGTATAGTGGATATTATATTAGGCCCCTGTTTGTTTCCAATGAAAAGCAGAATTTGTACCGTTGCTTATAATGGTGAGCCACAATATTTGACCATTTAATTTGTGTCCTAGTGGGCTCCACAATTTTAAAAAACAAAGGTCAAAAAAAGTATTTTCTTGTTGAAATAATTGGAAACAAACAGGGGCTAGATTCTTTAAATACCACCCAGTAGTACCTAATCCTTTCTACCAAACGTATATGCAGTGCATGTGGCATCAATTGACCCTTGTAACACAATATATTATCTTGATACCATGCCACTTAAAAGCATCTCTCAACTCAAATCCCTTTTATTTCAATGACTCTTACTCAATCAAGCAAGTTTCTAACTTCAAAGTCATAAATTACATTGACCTCGATTTACAATTGAAAAAGTTCGATACTTCTTGAGTGATTTTCATTGACTCTTACTCAATCAAGCAAGTTTCTAACTTCAAAGTCATAAATTACATTGACCTCGATTTACTATTGAAAAAGTTCGATTCTTCTTGAGTGATACTCATCGAACACTGCCTCTCTGAATATACTAGTTTCTTCATTATCTAAAATAGTTCTTTACTTGGAAGTATGAATATTTCTACTTCCGTTTCTTCATTCACGAGCTTTATGAAAGTCAAAAATTCATTGCATATACATGTAACTTATTAATTGACTAGAATTAATCAGAATAAAAGATTACCTTGTTATGAGGTCGGAACCACAATGACATGCATAGTTGAATTACTTGGAGGAAGCTGCAAACGAAGAGGATAAAGCTTCCCGTTCAATGGACTTCGTGTACACACAATAATACCATTCATTCCCAACTGCTCCTCGAGTCTCTTCGTCAATTCTTGAACTCCATTTCCCTTAAATGAGATGCCAAGCTCCTCAAAGCCCTCATCGATCTCCCCATATTCATTAGCCATATGAAAGTACATCATCCTGCCATGGCTCCCATTTGATGGCGAACTTGCCACGGAATCATTTGACTGCACACGAGCCCCCAAAACACATACTGAGGATCCGTAAATACACAATAAAAACTCACACTAAAATGCTGAATTTTAAAGCTAAAGCTCCCACAAAACTATAAGCATGTTTGGTTAAGCTTATAAGTTACTTTTTCGAAACAAGTTTCACAATTACTTTTCTTTTAAGTATTAGCCAATCATGCTCCAAATTTTTAGCCTCTACAATTCGTGTTCTAATGTTGTTGGTGCCAAACTAACGCATTTTGTCAGCCTTGCGCAGGGGCCATGCTGATCTTCTATATATCGTTCAAATTTTATCAGATGACCCCGAAGGGACGAAATTGCAGATGAACAGCCAAATTCTACTGATTTCTAAATTCCAATTTCAAGAATTCCACACATTTTACAAACAAAGTAACAAACAGCCAAATCATTACTGAAAGAAAATTTGTTTTAAGTACCTCTGGTCCAGAAAAGCTAGCAGACATTGAGGAATGAGTAGAAGGCGAACTAGAATCCGAAGCAAAAGAATCCGAGTGATCAACCAAACGTGGTGGCACCGACGCCGCCGCCACAGGTGACTGCGCCACCAATATCTCAGCCACATGCACATTCCACAAAATCCAATCCTGGGTGGCGGTCCTGTGAGGAATATCATGCGTAACCGATTTTCGCCACGGCGGCAGCCCCCCATTTGCCCGTAAGAACTGGCCGTATCTCGTTTTCAGCTTCACTGAATTGCCTTCTCTGATGGGCTCCCACTCGACCGACGAATCGAGTCGGCCCGGAAGCGTTTGAAGAACTTTTCGGCCGGTCATGCCCAGCAGAAACGGCTGGTTTGAGGCAGTTAAATACTTGTTATAACAACTTTTGAGACGGATTATGTTGTCGGAATTTTCGACAAGTTCTACTGTCCATTTCGCGTTCTTGGAAGATCCGTTTCGTTCTTGGCTCACTGACTCTTCGTCTTCTTCTGCTATCAAGTACTTGTCGTGGACGCTTCTGAGACGAACTGCCTTGGAGTTCTGGAACAGATCCATTGCTGGTGTTCTTGAGATTAAATTGAAGGATTTCTGTTTAATCAAAGAAACCCCACTAAGAAAATTGAGTGAATTGATGGGTTTAATGAAATATTAAGCCCATGTTTGGTTCGAATTAAAATCTGATTTTAATCTAAGTTAAAGTCAAATAATCAATATTAAACACATCTTTCATGGGTTCCACAACTTTTCAACCACACATGTTAAAAACTTCTATCACAATCTACTAAAAATTTAATTTTAATCCACACCAAACACCCTCTAAAGTTCCCTCAATAGATTCAGAGGATATTTTCTGTAATGAATGACAGACAGCGGCAATAGCCAGTAGCCTAAGAAGTTGGAACATGCTACGTGTACATAATTCGGCATCATAACGATGTTTACCTCCTTACATGGAGAAGGACCTGCTTCGAGGAAGTGGACGTCGTTATGAACACTACATTATGTGCATCACCACATTATAATAAAGGAATAGAAAAAGTTATGATTACGTGGACAGTTGTGAATTTTATGAATCGTATTATAAAAATTATTACTTTTAATGTCTCCCAAACATGTTTGAAATTTTTTTATACATTATCTTTTTTAGTATATTCTATAAAACATTTTCAACCGAACTCGAATTATAATTCAAAATAATCGAAAATACACTATATTAACACATTTCGTAAAACTTATAACTTACTATCCATTCTAGCGATGGAGCCATGAATGGTCTTAAATTTTTTTTTACACTAGGTTATTTCACACAAACAAATTGCTTGTAAAAAATAAATAAATTGGCTCAAGTACTTTTATTCATCATCAATGGCGATCATTGAAAAAGTTGGTGGTACTAAATTATGATTCATTGTTCAACAGAATTGAATAAAGCTATTCATCGTTAGTAGGTTGCAATGAACCCTCCAATAGCATTATTGAATAAAATCTCAATATATTTTAATGTATTCGACAATAAATTAAAGATCATTATCATCTAAACCGGTGATGATTCACTTATGATAATAAAATTATTCTTATTTTATAATTTGTAATCTTTATTTATTACTCCATAAAAATATACAAATCAAATAAAGATAATAAATCTTCATCGTGCATATTTTGGAAGCCCACTTTAAGTTTCTATTTTAATTTAATTTAATTCTTTATTATTTTGATGAACGACGTAGACATTTGGCAATTTAAGTTATTCAAGAATGTAATAAAAAACCTTCAATCAATGGATTAAGACGTGTATGACCTAACTTATATTATCTTCATTCTAATAAGTATACCTTACACAAAAAGAAATGAGGGAAAAAAGCCACTAAACCATAAGAGGGCTCTCCAAAATAAGCTACAAATTAAAATTAATTATGTATGTCATTTTCACTTATAGATGAATACATTTTTGTTTGCTAAAGGCAATCTTAAAATAAAAACGGATGATAACATAATGTATCGTACTATTGATTTAAGATGCAAATTTTCTTTATAATCAAAAGACGTAACATTAGAATTATGTGTTGTTCGATTAGTTTTGTTTGAAATCCATGCTACCATTGCGATCCTATCAAATACAATCGTAGTAAAGAAACTTTTTGAATTAAAATTAAATTATAGATTGTACCATAATTAGAATAAACTACTTAAACCTACACAACAGTTCCAATGCTACATCTTGAACCACTCGACCACCTCTCCTACATAATGATTATGAACCTAGCCTTCATAGCAGTTCCAATGCTACGCCTTGAACCACTCGGCCATCTATCCTACAAATAGATTATGAACCAAAAATCGAGTGAATAGCGAGTCATTCATATATCTAAGATATTCTTTTTCCCTCTTCCATTATATCCTAAATATAAATAATGAAAGAAAAAATTTATAATAAAAATTAATTAATTTTTTTTTTTTTAATGACAATTTGACCGGGATTAAAAGTTTGGAGTACCCCGTTGCTTTTTAAGCAGGGCCAAACGGATTATTACCATTAGAAGAAATTTCTTCACAGCCATTGATTTTTTTTTTTTATTTTTTTTGGGAATTCTTTTACACGTTTGACAAGTTCAGAAACCATACCTTTTCCATAGACAACCTCTTAAAGGAGGGTGAGTAGCCAGAAACCAGAGACTCCGGCACCGGCGACGACATATCCAAGCCGGAAATTTCATCTGAAACTGACGAAAAACTCGAAACCATCGACAAATAATCAGTCAAGAATTCGTCTTCTGGGATTTCTACAGCTTCTACATCCCACAAAATCCAATTCTTAGTTGAACCAGTATTAGGGTTATCGTGTGTGATAGAATTTCTCCAAGGTGGTGTTCCTCCATTAGCAAGTAAAAAAGTTCCCCGTAAACTCTTTAACTTTACTTGAAAGCCATCCCTTATAGGTTGCCACTCAATAGAAAAATCCTTCATATTTTCTTGATCAGTTTGCATGACTTTGCATCCAGTTGTGCCCAATAAAAAGGGCTCCTTCGAGGCCGTAAGGTACCTGTTAATGGGTAAAATCCATGTTAAAAACGAGTAGTTGGGTCGATTTTTTAAGATGAAACTTCAAGTCTGAATACTACCTGCCGTGACAGCTCTTGAGGCGGATAACATGGCTGTTTGTTTCGACAAGCTCCACCGTCCACCGCCCTTTTCGGGTGGCGGCGCTCTGACTTTGTCTGGTGGAGACTTGATCATCATCCGCTACTAGGTACTTGTTCAAGTGGCTTTTGAGTCTAACGGCCTTGGCTATTTTGAAGAACTCCATAACAATATTTTCCAAGAATCCTAATTTCTTGATGAAGTACTCTTAGTCTAACCTAGTGATGAGAGAGAGAGAGTAGATTCTATTAATACAAAGCCAATTTTTTTTTGTTTTACATGTTGTATTTCTTGGCCAAGGTCTGATTTCATAGATAGCAAAGTTCATGTTTGGCTAAGCTTAAAAGTTTCTTATTTACAAGTGAAAATGTTTGTTTTGAAATAAATAATTTCTTGTTGATTGAAGTTGAAAAATGACCTTTATCTTATATGTTATATTGCACGTGTAAGGTTTCTTGAAGCGAAAAAATTAGGAAGACGTGAACTAAACTTCGATATATTCGTAGGGGCAACATGAAACTTCATTATAATAATATTTTTGTCCAAATCAATTGAAAATACATTATTAAAAGTTTGAAAGGGCAATTAATTAAGAATTAAGATATTGAAAACTTTGTTCGTGCGTGCGCGCGCACATTATTAAATTTTCTTTTTGCAATATTGAGTACTTAACCTATCGCAAGCTTTGATTATCGTATGCGGTCTTAGTGCTTGTTTGGTTTAAAATATTAATCTCATAATAATTTAAAGGTCAAAGTAAAATTTGCTTTGATTATCGTATGCGGTCTTCGTTCTTGTTTGGTTTAAAATATTAATCTCATAATAATTTAAAGGTCAAAGTAAAATTTTAATTTTAACCACATGTTTTGTTAAGGCGCACTTTCTGCTTATCATCCATCACTCATTTCTATTAATTTATATTTTTAACAACTTGTAAATAAGTACTTAATTTCTCGAGTACTTGACAACATTATTTCAAAATCACGTGCAATGCACGTATATCTCATTAGAAAAATACAATTTGTATCAAACCTATGTCCAAACAAGACTACTCGACCCTTTGAACTCTAAGTAGCCCTTATTGGTCGAGCCACGACGAAGTTGTAATAGTTCAATGGAGCATGCTACAGGTACAAAATGGATTACAAAATGCCAAGTGGCGCCCCACTTGGCGATTTTGTAATCCATTTTGTACAAGATTTTGTACATCTAAATAAATCCTAGTTCAATTTACGACTATAGGACTTTTTACTAGTGAGAGANGCTGATAGTTTTATACATCTGTCTAAAGTTTATCCTTTCGACATTTTCGGCCGACTGGCATCGTGGTATAACTGAGGGATTGTTTGAGCCCCCACTTATTTGAAAATTCATTCTTCCAAAACTCATTTTCAACCATATTTTTCAATAAAATAATATTAAACGTAAATTTAAATTTTTTTCATAATTTTTAATCATATTCTCCAAAAAAAATCAATATTCAAAACTCAATTTTATTCAAATAATGATTGTCAAACAGGGGTTAACTCTCTACGTAATGTCAAAATGAATTATGTGTTTGTTTGAATTTCACTATACATTATAATATGATAGAAATAAATAATAATTGAGTAAGTAGTAATTGTGTGAATCAAACATCTGAGTAAGTGGTAATTGTGAATCACATATTCTCCAAAAATATCACATTTTTCAAATTCTTTTCTAAAAACTTACATCAAACAGTACCTAAAAAAAGTTGAATCGAGGGGTCGACAAATCCAACTTTCAAGGATCAAGATAGATTTTGAAATTATGCATATAAGTCAAAATCAATCTCTTCTATCAAGAGCTTTCAGCAATTACCAAGTCCAAGTGGATGTTTGGTGGGAATTAAAATTAGATTTTTAATAGATTGTGATAGAAGTTTTTGAAATGTGTTGTTGAAAAGTTGTGAAACCCATAAAATGTGTGGTTAATATTGATTGTTTGACTTTGATTTAGATTAAAATCTGATTTTAATCAGAAACAAACAAGGCTTTGATTTGATTTCAAAAATAAGTTTGTCAAACCGTACATAATTTGAAATTTATAACATATGTTATTACTTAAATTTTTTTTCGCGTGTGAATCAATTTCATTTTCTCGGGACAACTTTACTTTAAAGGAGTGGAAGAGTTGATTAAGTGTGCGAAAGTTTCACAAGCACTAGCACGAAGACTTTTGTAATTTGGGGTCAATTTTAGACTACCAAAATCATGTAAGCTATTGAAAAGCAATAAAAAAAAAAAATTAAACCACCCTCTTAGCATAAAAATGTGATAAATAATTGTTCCAATGAAACTCTATTCTTTTCGAAAAAAATAGAAAGAAATTTGGTCTCCTCGTCTTTTCTTGATTTTTTGTCTTCACCCAATTATCTTCACGTGAGCGGTGAGCCCATCCCCCTCACACCCACCCACACCCACACCCACCAACGTAGGTTGTCTGTCCACATAAACTAGGGTCAAGATTCAGATCTCCATCTTCCTTCTGATTTGATTATACTTTCACTTCCCATTTTGGGCTCCACAATGCCGCCATCACCGCTTTCACCAACTCCGGCCACTGTCTTCGCCGCCCATTCTTGACCAATCCACCCCAACTAGTTCAAGATTCAATCTTTGTGTACTTTGGGCTCTATCCACTTCCACCACCTCCCTCCACCGTCTCCGCCGCCCATTCTTGATCACCTCCACCCCACTAATCTAGTTAGTCCACCCAAACTAGTTCAAGATTCAGATCTCTTTATACTTTCACTTCTCATTCTGGGCTCCACAATGCCGCCACCACCTTCCACCACCATCTCCACCGCCGCCGCTGCCGTGCTTCTCACATTCTCGATCACCTTTGCTCATAGCTGCTCACCTCCACCGTCTAAAGACGCCAAAGTTTCATGCCCACCTTTCAAATCCATACCCCCTTTTCCTTTCTCATTCTCACCTGGTTGTGGCCACCCATTTTTCCAACTCCAGTGTTCATCTTCACACGCCACCATTTCCATCAACAACATCTCATTCTCTCTACTACAGTATGAACCAAACTCCACCTCTCTCACTCTCTCTCCTACGCCGTTGTCAGCTCCGCCACCGTTTAACCGCCACCACAACTGTTCTTCTCCCCACACGATTTCCGCCCTCAACAGATCTATAACACTCAGTGGTTCACCATTTAGAGTCTCTGATTCTTCTTGTTCCCGCCTTTCGGCCCTTAAACCTTGCCCGCCTCCAAATCTCCCAAACTGCAGCCGCTGCTCCTGGGAATGTAATCTCATCAAGAACCCTCTTCAACTCCTCCATGAATGTGGCTCCTCCACGCGCCACCGAGAAGACTTTCAACCGGAATGCCAAAGCGACGTACTTGGAGTTCTTGAAAACATTATGAGAAGAGGATTTGAAGTTGAGTGGGATGAAGACCAAGACTCGTACTTTTCTAGCTGCAAATCCTGCAGGGCCAGCAATGGCTTTTGTGGGTTCAATTCGACAGACCCAAAGAAACCATTCATTTGTTACCCATCTCAAACAAGAATCAAACAGAAAAGTCTAAATCGAATTGCTTTATTATCTATAATTTTCTTGTTTATGTGTTTCTTAATTTCCATTTCTATTGGAACTGTGTTCTTCCGGTCAAGAAGAAAAGCACTAATGACTGCAGAGGAAGATCCTACAATAATCTTCCTCCGGCGACACCGTTCTGCTAGTCTTCTCCCACCAGTTTTCACCTATGAAGAGCTTGAGTCCTCTACAAATAGATTCGACCCAAAGCGCAAAATTGGGGATGGAGGATTTGGTTCAGTGTATTTAGGGCAGCTTTATGATGGTAGAATAGTCGCAGTAAAACATCTCCACAAGCACAATCCGGCAACAGCTGCTGGAGAAGGATTCTCAACAAAGTCATTTTGCAATGAAATCTTGATTTTGTCCTCGATTAACCACCCAAATTTAGTCAAGCTTCATGGCTATTGCAGTGATCCAAGAGGCCTTCTCTTGGTGTATGATTATGTGCCCAATGGCACTTTATCTGATCATCTCCACGGTAAGAAGAGTTTGTACCAAAAAGGGGCCTTAAAGTTAACGTGGAATACAAGAGTCGACATCGCGCTGCAAACTGCCATGGCTGTTGAATACTTGCACTTTTCAGTGGTTCCACCGGTAGTTCATAGAGATATTACTTCGTCAAACATTTTTGTAGAGAAGGATATGAGAGTGAAAGTTGGGGATTTTGGGCTTTCGAGGCTTTTAGTATGCTCAGAAACCTCAATGGCATCAAACAATTCCTCTGAAGGAGTTTGGACAGGTCCTCAAGGTACACCGGGCTATTTAGACCCTGATTATTACAGATCATTCAGGTTGAATGAAAAGAGTGATATTTACAGCTTCGGGGTGGTGCTATTGGAGTTAATAACGGGGATGAAAGCGGTGGATCAGAATAGAGATAAGACGGAAATGGCTTTGGCGGACATGGTAGTGCCAAGGATACAAATGGGATTGTTGCACCAAGTTGTGGATCCTGTACTAGTGGTGGACGGGGAGGCAATGGAGGGAGTTGGTGCAGTGGCTGAATTGGCATTTCGATGCGTCGCAGTTGATAAAGATGATCGGCCGGATGCCAGAGAGGTGGTGGCGCAGCTAAGGAGGATTAAGGGCTGCGGTAGCGGTGGTGGCATGTTGAGGGGTTCAAATTCTAGTAGTGTAGTTCCTGATGGGGCAGTGCTTATGGTGAGTTAACAATCTGTCTATGCACATGCGGGGATATGTTTTGTTTGTTTGTGAAAAATTCAAAATAGAACGTTAACATATCTAATGGACTGTCGTTTTACTTGTACTGAATCATGCCCTGTCCTTGTATTTCCAGTTTAGATTTCTGTTCTTGTTTTTACTGGTTGTCCAGTTTAACTTTCTTGGCCAAATAATATGTTAGAATTTCATTTTCATCTACATTGATTTAACCATACAGCAAAAACTAAGCTCGGCTCGACTCGACTCAGGACTTAATCCATTGTGGCGCCCACCTCGTGAGATGGCTAGCCTGGTATGCATTAGCAACGTCTATTGCACTTTGGAGGAGCGACCGCCTAAGGTTGGCCCAAGTGGCCAAGCCTACGTCGCAATATGTGGTAGTGAGTGCCTGTTTTCAACCCTTAGTGGGGATAAAAGAATCATAGAACACAGCAAATGATGCAATTTTAGAACATAGAGAACACTATCATCAACATCAATTAAGTATGATAACATTTATTTTGACCTCTATAAGCATAGTACCTAAGGATCCTGCTCTATTAATCTCGGTTAAATGAAATGTGAAACATCCAACATTCTAGCTTTGTCGCGAAACCTTGCAGCTTCCGGCCTCCCTAATATTGAATAACCTTTCTCCTACGATAAATGCAACAATTTACGTTAGTAACGTTAGTAACGTTCAAATCTCACTTATCAAGCAAAGCATGAAAGTTGAGAAAAAAGTGGAGGTGTACCAGGAGGCACCACAAGAATGGTGCACGTTCTCGTTTCTTCAACTGTTTTTCGATGGCTTGGATAGCTGCAAGTGACAAAATTGTGATTAATAGCTAAGTGGCAATAAAATTGGATTAGGACAGTATTGGTTCTACCTCGCGATGCTTGTCCAGTACTTAGAAGCAAACTGATCCATATTTCATTGAATACGTCGAGTTGTTCATCTGATGCCCCAATTATCTAAGCACAAAGAAGCAGAATTTTACGTGTCATTTGAAGGAAACTAAAGTTGAATGAAATAAATACTAGGTAGTTTTGCCTGATACCTTACAGTTAAGGACATTGAATTCGTGTCCAAGAAACTCCAATGCCTTCTCATTTTCACCTTTCCCATACTCGCAGAGTGCTTCTGCAAGCTAAAAATGAATACACGTGAAATAGCATCAAAATTTTTCCATCTATGATGAATTCTTTGATTTATACAATGCTAACAAGAAGTTTTGCGTTCAAGGTTACCAAGCCCATAACAAATGGAAATTCTCATTGTCAGGGCAATTGAGAACCTTGAAAGTGATTAAAGCTTTTCCTTTAAAAGCCCAAATGAAAGAACACAAATGCCAGTATAATATCTATGACGCCTTAGAAAGAAATTAAAATTGAAAGAGTATCATAGTTAATTATTCTTCAGAATAACGACCAAATCATTGTAAAAGAACCTGAACTCCAATCTGCATCAACTGCTTCTTCTTCTTGTTCATTGTAGAAATCCTACATTAATAAGACGCCTATTGGATTGAATTGAGAATTGCCTAATTCAAGAAACACCTGAGAGGGTGGAATGATTCGCTAACCTGGATTTTAAGCCTTCTAATAGATTTTCTGCTGCAGCAAATTCTCCCGTAAATGATAAGGCCCACAGTATCAAGATATCCAGGTGCCACTCGAGATACCAAAAGGCCTAAACATTGCAATTGAGAGAGTTTAGTCGCTTAACATAATCAAATCAAATGAAGAGAAATCCATAAATAGAAACTAGCCAAGGTCAAATGATTAAGAAAATGTAATCCGAAAATTCAAATGAGACTAACCGATATATTAAGATGTACTACTTGCACATTCTGCATAAAAGAAATATATCCAATACTCTTTTAGTTTTTCTTTCCTCTTTCGGTTCCCATTAGTTCCTTGATTACTTGCTTTCTATCATTTTTTTTTCAATCGGAAATGAGGGAGTTGCATAATCGACAAAAATGAAATGGATTTGATCAACACAGATTAAATGTAAATGGAACTTTCTCGGTCTTGTTTAGTAAAGTCAAGTCTTTTGTAGAGGATGTTGATTCATAGCCTGTAAGATCTTATTTTAGTAATTAAAAAATCCAGAGTCAAATACCAACTTCTTTTATTTCACCGTAATTATATACACACTGGTAATCACCACAAACGCAGAACATAAATGATGGGATGTTCTAACTCACTCTATCTTTCAGACAAATAGCTAAGATCTTCAGACGGTCCTCAAACATATCAAGTCCACCATGTACATGCACACGCAGTAACAGACCAACAGCATTTAAGTATACCTGCATGCATAAAAATATATGAATATAGAATAAAATTTGTAGCATGTTAAAAGGTGGTCATTTTGGGGGAAACGTTATCACTGACTTCTACAGACACAGCATCAGTTCTTTCGAGTTCTTTCCATATATGCTGGTCATAAACCTCTCGTACTTTCTCCATAGGAGCACGACCTTCCAAGTAACACAGAGCAACATGCCACCAATTATGCGTATACCTAATACACAGTTTTCTTCAGGCAACCAAAAACTAAACAAAATAATCTAGGCGAAAATCAAGGTATCATTTCTGGTTTGAAAACACACATAAAAGATGACAATGAACTCCACGATCTTGCACATTCTTCCATGAAATTCACTGCTTCCTTGAAATGACACTCGTACTGATATACATGACAAAGCTGCGAAGGAACTCAAAACTATCAGAATCAGTAAGGTAGGAAATGTATTAAGGTAGTAATCAGGTTATTAAATAATTATTTTCTTTCCACGGTCAATACTCGAGAAAGATACAAAAGCATAACATTATCATGCATTGTCAATCAGTTTCACGACCACAGTTTGTAATCCAAGACAAGTTGAAAAATTGTAATGTAATTCAATTTGAAATACTCGATAAAAGATGTGGGCAGCCATGCATTGATCAAGGCAAGAAATAGCATTCTAGATCTACAAAACCAAAGGGCTTTCATATTCAGCTAAAATGTTGAAAGATTATTGCTACTAGGGAAAGCTGAAATTAACATTTTTCACAAACAGAATTGTTGTAATATGCTCTGGAAAATTTAAAAATAAAATGTTATTTGTGCAACAGAAAGTATCCTTCTAAGTAGAATTGAAAAAAATTCAATATACAATAGTAAAAAAAATTATATTTAATGGACAATTTTCATGTGAAACAAAGTCAAACGAACACTAAATTTTAATTAAAAAAATGATTTTTTTATGAAATTTTTTTTTTTTACTTTTTGGCA